GACCAATCCCAGGCTGCGGATCCCCCTCCCCGCCTCCTCCACCGTCCGCTGACTGGTGCCCCAGACTCGGAGCCCAACTTCGAGCCGCGGGGTGCCGCCGGGAGATGCGGCTGCTGGGAGCTCGGATCCCCTGCCCCAGGGTGACCCACAGATCTCTCCGTGAGAAGATCCCAACTCCTTCCTATGGAACCCCCATCTTCCTGCACTCCCTCCTGATACCCCAGCGCCCTCACCCCTCCCGCTGCCCCCCAGATCCTTTCACCTGCATACTAGATCCAGATCCACCGATCTGTATTCCTCAATTCCACGCCACGTCCGTGCACCTCCAGTCTCCCCACCACTTGCCTTCTTGCTGGCCCTCCCTTGTATGTCTCACCTCCTCACCCCTACGCATTCTCTGTTTTCCCACCCACTTTGCCTCACTGGGCAGGTTTGAGAGGTGGGGGGACTTGCCCCTTCACTAGTTCCGGGACAGCGCCTGGGAGTGTAGAGGAGTTGGTTTGCTGAGGCGAGATTTTACAGAGCAGGACTTGGAGAGGAATTGCTCTGGGCTGAATAAACATTGACCTAGAGACTGCTCGGTACTGGAAGTTTACACACCTTATTTAATCTGTTGCTAGTGGGGGCTGGACAGAAAAGTGACAGGACAAGCATTTCTAGTCCAGATTTACACGCAGGGAAAGTGAGGCTCACAAATCTCACTGTTAGTTTGTGGATGCATATTCAATAATGCATTCAACATTTATTGAGTACCTACTGTGGCCACTGCCAGACCATTGGCTGACATTTCTTGAACACTTACTGAGTGCCAGACACGGTACGAATATGTATTTTGATCTTCACAACAACCCGCAGAGTGCTTCTGCCTCTTGCAGGAGACGAGGCCCTGTCCTGGCTCCCCTAAACTTGCTGTGTGACCTTAAATAAGTGATGTTACCTCTCTGGGTCTCAGTTTTCTCATCTGTAAGCGTAACATGTCCAGAGAGTCTTTCCAACTTTCCGCCCTGAGGATTCTGCCAATCCCATGCTCTAGGCTCCCAGGTCTCCCAATGGCCTGGGAAACGCCTGGAGAGAGACCACAAATACACATCCTCCGAATCTCCAGGGCCAGAGATTCTGGGCCCTCTCTCAGTAAAGCAGGGTTGGTGGGGTGGGTCTGAGAGCTGCCCATCTGGCCCAACAGAGGGGCGAGGGGGGAGCTAGGCCAGAGCTTCATGCTCTGGTGAGAAAATCCTGTCCCTGCCTCGTCTGAAACCCCAGAGGGACTCCTCAGCCCTAGCAACTAGGAGAA